GAAAGACCCACTCAAATTTATAGACAAAATCATCACGTCCCTTATTTACCAGAAAGGATCCCCCCAGAAAACATTTCTTCCGATTCTGTGAGCAGAGTTTTATGAGCACCATTTCCCTGAGATCATTCTACCAACAGAAGCAGGCCAAAGATGCCAAAAAAGATGTCGGGTATGCAGCAGAAGGGGAATTAGAAGAGACCAGTTTTCATTGTCCCCAGTGTCCCTCCCAACAAGGCCTGTGCATCTCAGACTACTTTCAATGTTTTCACACATCACTAAAATATTAGCCCATATTTCTAACGACCTGCTATTTCCCCATTTTCCATATCTCTGCTGATCATTTGCCTGCTGCCTCAACCAACCATACCACTGTCTTCCACCTTAACTGAACCTGGCCTGCTTATCGGCTATGCCTGTGTCTGCCGTCTGCATTGTTTATCCACCATGTTTCTACCTTCCATCTGAACTGACCCTGGCCTGTTTATTGACTATGATTCTGCTTGCCATCTGGATTATCATCGACATTTATACCTTCTTCCTGGACTGACTTCGATCTGTTAATCAACCATGTTTTTTGCCTGCCGCTTGGATTAATCTTTTGCCCTGCTACTGTAGTAGTGGGATTCAAGATAACACAGGGTTCTCACATTTGTAAGGGGCTTTAGAGAAAAGTTCTGAATAGAGAAAAACAGTTTTTGGTTTTCTCCGGTATTTTGTAATTCTCAGAACAGTGCCTGTTTGTCCGGAGGCTTCAAAGAGATTTAGCGGGATGAAGCCTCCACACCTGTGCCCTGGTCCTACCTGACCGAGGCCCTATGTCTGATGTTGCTCCCTGCTGCCTGGACAATACTTTGGCTGTGCTGACCATATCTCTGCCTACTGCCTGTACTGACCCAGGACCTTTTATGGGCCTTGCTCCTGTCTACTGCATGGAAAAATACTTTGGCTGTGCTGACCATATCTGTGCCTGTTGCCTATAATGCCCAAGGCCATTTTATGCACCATGTTCCTGCCTGCTGCCTTAACCAATACTTTTGCTGTGCCTGCCTGCTGCCTGTACTGACCTGGACCAATGCTCTCCTCAAACCACAGGTAATCTTTTGTTTACATTTTTTTCCATACAGTGTTGATTTTTGTTTTACACTTTGTTGCAATGTTGTGCACATAACCTGTTCAGACATTGAAAAGGTCTTATACATGTGGTATCCCTATAATCAGGAGGAATAGCAAGGTGTATTTTGGGGTTTAATTCTTGGTATGTCTATGCTGTTTATTAGAAATATCATATAGATTGACAACTTTGTGTTAAAAAAAATAAATTTTCATTTCCTTTCCTCAGTTTCCAAAAACTTGTGAAAAAAAATTAAACGGTCAAAAGACTCATTATGCCTTTTAGAAATACGTTGTGGTGTTTGCATTCCAAAATGGCGTCATTATTTGGGTGTTTCTACTGTCCTGGTACTCCAGTGCCTTCAAAAATGTGATAGGTTGTCAGGAAAATAGATGTGTAATTTTTGCCCCTGGGATGCATAAAGGTGGTCCTTGGGTGTTTGGCCTCTCTATGTGGCCAGGCTGTGGAGAAGTCTCACACATGTGCTATTGCCATACTCAGGAGAGGTAGCTGAATGTATTTTGGGGTGTAATTCTTGTTGTGCACATGATATGTGTTAGAAATATCTTAAAAATGGGCAACTTTGTGTAAAAAAAAGTTTTCATTTTCCAAAAACTTGTGGCAAAAAATGAAATGTTTAAAAGATTCAATATGCCACATAAAATATATGCTGGGGTGTTTGTTTCCCACTTCGTGGGTAATTACATTGTCCTGGTGCTCCAGGGCCTTCAACAGTGTAATAGGTAGTCAGGAAATAAAATGTGTAATTTATATCCCTAGGACACCTGACGGTGCTCCTTGCATGTTTGGCCTCTCTATGTGACTAGGTTGTAAAAAAGTCTCACACACATGGTATCCCCATACTCAGGAGGAGAAGCAGTGTGTTTTTTGGGGTGTAGTTCCAAGTATTCATATGCCGCGTGAGAGAAATAACCTGTTAATATGACAATTTTTTGGAAAAAAAAAATCTTAATTTTCAATAGAATTGTGGGAAAAAATTACAACTTCAAAAAAACTCACTATGCCTCTTACTAAATACCTTGGCCTGTCTACTTTCCAAAAAGAGGTTATTTGGGGGGGGGGGGGGTATTTGTACTGTCCTGGTTTGTTAGTGTCTCAAGAAATAAGATAAGCCATCAGTAAATCAGTTGTGATCAGGGGTGATCAATTTTCAATGACTGGTACCATAGCTTGTAGACTCTGTAACTTTCACACAGACCACATAATATAGACAGATTTAGGCTCTATTCACACCTGTGCAGGTTGTGTTTGAGCCATTTCTGCATTGCGTTTTGCATTTTTACACCTGCGTTTTCGATGCGTTTTTGCTTTTTTTTTTCTTCTTGCTAGGCAGATTTAAAGCGCAAAATGCATCAAAAACGTGGCAAAACACACTACATGCTTTTCTGCCATGTTTCCATTGAAGTCTATAGAATAAAAAAATGCAACTTTTTGTGTTCAAAAAAGTCCCTGACCCTTTCAAAAAAATGCACCGGGTGAAAACACAGAGATATGAACATGTTCCATAGGAAATCATGTTAAATGGACTGTAATGCATTTCTGCAAAGCCCTGAGGAAAGCGCTTAGATGTGAACATAGGGTTAGGTTATTTTTTACCAAAGAAATGTAGCAGTATAAATTTTGTCTAAAATTTATGAAGAACAATTACTTATTTGCAAAATTCTACAACAGAAGTGAAGAAAAATACAACTTTTTTCACATTTTTGGGTATTTATTCATTTATAGCACAAAAAAAAAAAAAAAAAAAAAAAACCAGTGCTGATTAAATAACACCAAAAGAAAGCTCCCACAAAAACACCAAAAGGACAAAAATGTTATATGGGTACAGTGTTGCATGACTGAGTAATTGTCAGTCAACGTTTGAAAGCACTGCAAATTGGTCTGGGCAGGAACTGGGTATAAGTGCCCAGTAGGCAAGTGGTTAAAGTGCACGTAAAGTCAAGTTATTTTATAGTTTTGGAATACAGTAAGGAACATTTGGTCATTTTTTTCTGCCCTCACAGATTTATGCCTTTCTTTGTCCTGATGACCAATTTCACGGAGGCAGAACAAGAAATGAGCAAAATCCTCCGACACCTGTCCCTTTGATAACATTCTAGGGTAGGATTTCTCTTTACTTTTGAGAGGTTTCCTCTCATTTCCTGTTGCTTTTTTAGGACAAGATCTGAAGTGAAACATTCCCAGTGAGATCAGAGAGAACAAAAAAACATGATAAGAGTTTTAACCCTGCCATACGCATGTCAAAAATAAAAAAAAATGTTCCAAATATAGATCTAATGCATACTGTAACCACATAAGGGGCTTTCTAACTGATAATAGACACTCAGCATCTCCTATGGTTGTGTGGGACACCCCGAAGGCTTATATCAGAGGTATGTGTATTAGGGAAATCTCCAAAATCAAGATAATTATCAGACAGTGGGAGGTTGATGCTAGCCAATCAGTGCCTAAGGCAGAACAGGCATATTTAAGTAACCCTAATGCTGATACTGATAGAGAATGGGTGGATGCCCAACATTTCCTCCATACTGTCCAAACCCAGCATGCCGAAAATAAGAGATTCTTCTCTCCACAAGCTTTGTTTGAGGAGAGGGGAAAAGACGGGTTGGTGGTTATGTTGGTGATGATAGCAAAAGCTCAGTAACCATCCACCCACATCCCCTCCTTAACAGTGTCCATGTCTCAAACAGTCATGGACACCCCCTCCATCTTACAAAGCTTTTGCACCTTTTATAAATCAGAGGGGGGGGGGACAGGTGGAAAAAAATCACTTTATACGCTGACGCTGCTCTCCTATTTCTGGGGGACACATTGTCTTCGCTAGCACACTTAATGTTAGTGATTACTGATATTCCATAAACTGGGACGTCCACTTTCCTCCCGCTAGACACTTGAAACACCCTATGCTTCCTGAAGCCGCTCAAATAGAAACTGGCGTATCCTTTAAGTATTTGGGAATCGAGATACATCCAATCTTAACCAAACATCTGGAACTGAATTTGCTCTCGATACTTAAAAAAGTCCAGCAAAAGGCGGCCAGTTGGAGTAAACTCCCTTTATCCGTCAAAGGGAGATGTAATATAATAATAAATGATTTGGTCTCCCCAACTATTATATATTCTACAAAATGCCCCAATTTGGATTACAATCCAGGTCTTGAAAAGATTCCACAGTATTTTGCTCTTTTATTTGGCAAAAGTGCATCCCCCACATTAAATTGGAGATGCTACAGGAACCTAGGGATCTGGGAGGCCTTGCAGTTCCTAATTCTTATCTCTCTTATTTAGCAGCCCAATTACAGCATTTCACAGCATGGCAGAATCTTATGATGGTAGTTGGTTTCCATGGCCTCATGGACAGTCTAAAGGCTGGTATATTTAAAACCCTAACACAGCTTCCTACTTTGGGATTTCTGGACAAAGTGTGGTGTAAAAGCTAAACAACTATTTTGATAACAGGGGTATACTTCATTTACTCGAATCTTTAACAACTCTAACTACTCTGAGCTCTACAAACTAACAGGGTCAAACATTCAAGGATTTTCAAACCCTGAGAACGGAATCTGGTTTACCCAACTTCGCTTTTTTCCAATATTTGCAACTTAGACCCGCCATTATGGCAGTCAAACCCACTCTTCTTCAACAATTAACACTCTCACATTCTAAGAAGGGTCAGATCTCTTCCCTTTATGGAGCCTTGATACAAAGAGTGTCTAAGTCAACCTCCCTTAATTGTAGAACACATTGGTCTCATGATCTAGGTCACATCTCTGACGAGGAATGGTCCACAATACTTTCGTACAACGTATTGTCGGTAGCTGTATCTTCATCTCAAAAACTCACACAGTTGTTTATAATCCACAGCACTTATCGCACCCCACAACAACTATGAGAGTGGGACAGAAGGGATACTCTCTTGTGCTAGCACTATAAGGCGGAAAGTGGCATATTGATACACATACTGTGGAAATGCCTCAAATGTGTGTGCTATTGGGTAATATCCAGAGGCGAACTGACAACTCATGGGGTCCCCGGGCAATAGGGGATCATTGGGCCCCTGTGTCCTTGCCCAAACTCAAAATAGCCTATGAAAAAGGTACCAGGGGCATCTCATGGGGCCCCCTACTGACCCCGGGCCCTCGGGCAGTGCCCGAGTTTCCAAATGGTCAGTCCGCCCCTGGTAATATCACTGATAAATAATGTTTTTTCTCTTAATCTCCTGCTACCTTCCAAATTATGCTTACTTGGTTGGTTAGATGAGGATCTTTTTGAACCCTCAGTATATACTACTATACTATGTCTCTTATTTATAGCTAGGAAACCTATTGCACAAAAATGACGGTCACTGACTCCCTCTTCACAGGCAACTTGGATCAAGGCAGTTAATGATACGCTCTCAAGACAGAAGTTGGTCTATCAACACAGAGGTAGTCCCGGTAAATTGTTGAAACTGTGGGAGGCATGGCTGGGCTCCCCAGGCTTGGCACCCTTCCACTTGGTTAAAGATAGAATATTGAGTGGAGATGTGCCTTCAGGTATTGTGTGATCTCACTATTCCCGCTAACCTAATAGTGGGCCACGTATACCATTTGTGATTTAACACTACTCTCTATTCTCTTTTCTATGTAACTTGTGGGTGATACTTGAGGCTGTCGTCTGCAGAGACAACAAAACACATGGTTTGGTTTAGTTCTTTGCATATAATTTTTCAGTTGTTTTCTTTTTTTTTTATTTAGTTTTTTTTTATTGTATTAATTTGAATGTCCACAATTTGTCTGAACAATGATATTATAATGATGCTAGGTGCACTTGTATAACTTGGTTTACTTGTATCCTACTGTTGCCACCCTGTGTGATGGTCTTTTTTATGATCACACTGTAGTAGGAGGTTGATATTCTGTTTTTTTGGCACTCTGTTTTTGACAGTTTGTTATTGTCTTTTTGAAGTGTGATGGAACTTGTAAAAGTTTTATGAAACTGGAAACTGTTTGGTTTTCAAATAAAAATGATCTCATTTTAAAAAAATAAATAAATAAATAAAAATGTAATTTTAGGCCATATTTGATGTGAATGGTGAAAGACTGTGGACATGCATGTAAGTCAATACAATGAGGCTGGTTTACTAAAGTAGTTGAGAATCTTCACTCAGTAAATTGTAGCTGTATTCACTTTTAATGCCCAATCCTGCACAGATAAAATAAACAAACAGGAATTTGCTTTTCACATGGTTGGGTAATTAAAATTAATCTTACTCAATTTCTGGAGCTGATTCCCAGCTCCTTTAGTAAATCAGCCTTAGTATGCCCCCACTGAGACATATTGTAAAGATGTACTAAAGGCAAATAGGTTGTTCACTTAGCAAAGGAATTTTCCCTTAGTTTTGTGAACATGATGACAATTATATTTTCAACACCCAATCATGTTTTTTTTCTTGCTTGATCAAAGTTAGTGGAGCATTACCTCATTCACTATGATAAAGGAAAATTCCCTTGCAAAATAAACAGCTTATTTGTCTTTAGTAAATTAACTCATTGTCTAGATATGTTCTGTAATTTGGGTTTGAATACTGTTTTTGATAGATGCTTTTACTGTAACTGCACTTGTTGACACACAGTACATGAACTGCATTTAAAGACTACAGTGTAGATTACCATGAGGTACAAATAATATATTGTGACCTTTTTGGCAGTGCACTTTTTATTTATAAAGGCAAATTGACCAAAGTCACTGTATCTAGTGCACATTCTATTCTACTTAACAGTAAGTGGATTCAAACATGTTTAGGATAAACATAGACCTACAGTAGTGATGGGCCGAACACCCCCCTGTTCGGTTCGCAGTCGAACATCCGAACCCATTGAAAGTTTGATGGCGAACTTCGAATAGAGGGGACAATTCACTAAGCGGTATCTTACAATTTTTTTTTTATACACATGGGGTTCCCCCCATCCATACCAAGCCCTTCGTGTTTGCTATGGATTTTGAGGGGAACCCCTACACCAAAATTAAAATTGTTTTTTTTTCTTTTGGCTTGGGGGTCCCCTCCAAAATCCACACTAGCCCCTTATCCAAGCATGCAGCCCGGAAAGTCAGGAAAGGGGGGGGTGAATGAGCGCCCTCCCCCAAACCATACCAAGCCACATGCCATCAACATTGAGGTGCCTCAAAGCACCTTGTCCCCATGTTGATGGGGACAAGGGCCTCTTCCCCACAACCGTGGCCAGTGGTTTGTGGGGGTCTGAAGGTGGGGGCTTATCTGAATCTGGAATCCCCCTTTAACCCCAGATCCTGCCCCCCATGACAATGAGTATGGGGTACATGGTACCCCTACTCATTCACACAAAAAAAGTGTAGTGTAAAAAATGACAGTAGACAAACGTTATTCAACAAACTTTATTAAAAACAAATATTTTAAAAATGTCCCCCAAAGTAGATCCAATGTCAATCATGATGCCCGCTGCCACCACTATCCCAAAAAAAGAAAAAAAAAGAACGCTCTTCTCTCGATGCCCCCTTTGTCTGACAGCTGTGCTGTCAAAAATGACAGTAGACAATCTTTGACAAGTCCTTTATTAAAAGCAAAAATGTAAAAAATGGCCCCCAAAGTAGATCCAACATCAATCATGATGCCCACCACCACCGCTAACCCCCAAAAAACAAACGCTCCTCTCTTGACAATCCTGCCATCTGACAGCTGTGCTGGGATGACAGTTCTTAAATACAGTAATGATGTCACAAGGGGGCGGGGTCACCCTGCCCCCTTGTGACATCATTATGTGCTGTGATTGATCAAAGCATTGCACCTGACCTGTGGTCAGGTGCATTGCTTTGGCCAATTACAATGCACTGTCAGAGCGCAGTGCATTGAGGGGCATGGCGGGCAAACAGCCCGCCCGAACGCCCTTACTGCTCATGTGTTTACCAAACCACAAATGGCCAATGTTCGAGTTGAACCTATGTTCAACTCGAACATCTAGCCCAACACTAATCTACAGTATACTCAGAGAAAAAGTAAAAAAACAAAAAAACATTTTATATAAAAAACTATTTGGGCAGACTCAATGGACCACTTCATCTTTTTTTATGCAGTCACTCTTCTGTGTTCCTACAACATACCTTTGTACCTCCCTTACACAGTGAATGCATTGCTCTTCAGCTACTATAATAGTTATATTATAATGTAAGGTCTTTTAAGAACTGTGCTGTTCATGGCAGTATTGCAGTATTCTGCAGTCTACAGTTATTTACATTTATTGGCAAAAATTAAAATTGCCCAACCCAGAGAAAAAAAGAAAAGTCATAATCATTTCATGTTGATACACATCTCCCCCCCCCCCCCCCCTTTCATTGCCTATAAATAATAATTCTAGAAGAACCATGTCTTGCTCTATCAGTACATTGCCTCTGGCTTTGCACAGCTCTGCGTGACAATCTCCGATCTGTTGCTGGAATTTATGTTCAATGTTTCTGTTTTCAGGCACAAAAAGATATTTATAAAGAGGCCTGGAAAACATTAATGTTTTAATAAACTGGGTCTGGTTGTCAGAAAAGACATAGCAACATATGTAGGTGGATTCATCTTGTTAAAGAAAAATTGTCTAAGTCTGCAGGACATGTAACAATCAGAGCAATATAGACTTTTTGCTTACATCAAAATGAGCAACTTTTATTCTTATCCTTTGAAGTCCCTGAGGAAACAAGCTGAAGAGTTAAAATGACCCTGTGACCGGATCTTATTAAGCCAAGTAACACAACCAAGGTATCAGGTAAAGTCTACAAGCTTGGAAAAATCTGTATGTAAATGGATAGAAAACTGGCTAAAAGATTGTATTCAAAGAGTAGTGGTTAATGATTCATACTCTGCATGGTCTAGAGTTGTCAGTGGTGTACCCCAAGGTTTAGTGTTGGGACCATTACTTTTAATATATTTATAAACGATATAGGGTCTGGGATTAAAAATCCCATTTCAGTCTTTGCAGATGACACCAAGCTGTGCATTGGAATATTTTCCTTACAGGATGTCTTCAACTTACAAGCCGACCTCAATGCACTGTTTAATTGGGCAACTATGTGGCAAATGAGGTTTAATGTTGATAAATATAAGGTTAGCACTTGGGGGCTAAGAATATGCATGCATCATACATACTAGGGGGAGTACGACTGAGGGAATCAATGGTGGAGAAAGGATCTGGGGGTTCTTGTAGATCACAACCTTAATAATGGCATGCAATACCAAGCTGCAGTTTCTAAAGCGAGCAAAATCCTCTCTTGTATTAAAAGAGGTATAGACACCAGAGACAGAGATATCATATTACCCCGGTACAAATCATTAGTTTTACCTCATCTGGAATATGCAGTTCAGTTTTGAACTGTTTTGAACAGTTTTGAACCAATTCACAAAAAAGAACATTGGGGAACTGGAGAAAGTACAGAGAAGGGCAACCAAAGTGATATGAGGTATGGAGGAGCTCAGCTATGAGGAAAGATTAGAGGAACTGAATTTATTCTCTCTTGAAAAGAGGAGATTAAGGGGGGATATGATCAATCGTGTGTGGGGAACTGTGTCAAACGGTTTTGCAAAATCCAAGTATACCACGTCCACCGCCACCCCTCTGTCCAAGGTTTTGCTCACCTCTTCATAAAACAAAATCATGTTTGTTTTACAACTTCTGTCTTTCATGAATCCATGTTGCTTAAAATATTTTTTTCCAGCAAGAACTCATCTATGTGATCTTTTATTAAACTCTCCAGTATCTTCCCAACTATAGAAGTTAAACTATCAGGTCTATAATTACTTGATAAAGATTTTGATCCCTTTTTAAATATTGGCACCACATTGGCCTTACACCAATCCAGTGGTACTATGCCAGTCATTAAAGAGTCCCTAAAAATTTGAAACAATGGCTTTGAAATGACAGAGCTCAATTCTTTAAGGACCCATGGGTGAATGTCATCCGGTCCAGGTGCTTTATTCACCTTTATTCTGTCTAAATATTTTTGGATCATTGTGAGCCAATGTGGATCACCGGGAGCTGTGTCAATACCATGCTCTTTATGGACAAGAGCTCCCCCATGCTCCTTTGTATACACAGAGCTGAAGAAGATATTTAATAAATTTGCCTTCTTTTTGTCCCCAGTCACCCACTCTAGATTATTTTGTAAAGGGCCTACATGCTCGGACCGGACATTTTTACTATTAATATATTTGAAGA